GCTTTAATTATTTTTAAAAAATTCTTTAAAATTCTTTCCTTTTCCTCATGACTGGTGAGGCCTCCCCTGCCTCTAGTGACTGCACGTCCCTGTCTGGGAGAAATAGCCAAGCTTAGAAAGCACCAAAGATTCCATAGAGAATGAATATATGAATGAATGAGTATAGATAGAGAGCAAACTCTTCTAGCATTGATGATGGGGACCTGGTTTTCAAACGAGGTCAAATGGCATGCAAATATGGTTGGTTTCATGGTGAGGAGCAGGAGATCCTATGTACCTCTCAAGTGAAGAGTGATATATATGTAAGATTTTTGACCCAAATGTATCTCATCCATCTTGTTCCATTTCCCAGTGAGACCCATCAAACTGATCAAAGGCTTGCAGCCAACAGATGTTCATGAGAAGGAATCAGTAACTTTTGACGTGGAATTGTCCCATGAAGACGTGGAAGCAGTTTGGATGAAGGATGGTCTCCGTCTCAAGTCTCAGGACAACTGCCAGATATCCATCCAAGGGAAGAAGCACTCACTGACACTCTCATCCTTGACATTGGAAGATTCAGCTCTTATTTCCTTCAAGGCTGAAGGAATTCACACCACAGGCAGGCTTAATGTGAAAGGTAGGTGCTCAGACAACTCTTTTAAATTACAGGTAATCCTCAACCCCGTAGCCAGACAAACCATATCCAAATGCAGAGATAAACCAGAGATAAATACTGGAGAATTGCAGGAAACCTGGCATTCTGACAAATCAGCCATCAACAGACACATAGAAATAAACAACATCCACACACCATTTAAAAGAGACAATCAAAAGGTTTGATCAATCACAATACCTCCTGACAAGCAAACAACTCCCAGATAAGCAAAGTTTAACACCAAGCACTAAATAATATCCCAAACAGGTACTACTAACACAATAAAGAACAGCCTAATCAAGGAACAACCAAAACACTCCCATTGACGGGGCAGTGACTAGTGTATAAAATGAGAGCAAAGCCCCCCCCCCCCACTAGTGGTACTGTTGATGTTACCTAGTCAGGTCATGAAATGTTTGCAAGAAAACCACCAAATGTTAGGGTTCCAAATAGCACCCAAAAGTAAATCAGAGGCAAAGGATTCCTCAAAGCTCCAATTTATTAAGAGAGCCATGTTGGCATATCTGGGGAAACCCGAAACTGAAAGCTTCCAGGTTTTCCCACTCAGTTAAAAGTCCAAGATCCTGCCTGTACACCCACAAGGCCATCACATGGTCCAATCTTCCACTGCCATGCTGGCAGTTCCACATATCCAGTTCCGGCCAGGATGACCTTGGCTTTCTAGAAAGAATTTTGTTATGGTTACATATCACCCAGCTCCGTATAATCCTCCCTCCCGCAATAGAAAATGCATAATAGAATGATGGAAAGTGTGGCAGGCCTAAAGTCCAAAAAGAAAAAGATGGCTTGCAGGCCTGATACCAAGTTCAGAAAGCATCAAGGACCCCACAGTCCTCCTCCTCCACTCCACAACCCCATTTACTTCCAACACTGGTTGGGTCATGAAATGTCTGCAAGAAAACAAGCAAGCTTAGAAAACACCAAAGACCCACAGTCTTTCCCTCTCTTCCTCCTCCTCCTCCTTCTCCTCTTCCTATTCCTCCTTCTCTCCACAACCCCCCTCTCTTCTAACACTGATAATGGATCATGAATTCTGATCACTAAAATAGGGTAATTGTCAGCACCTCTTCATTGGATAATTAGGAAAGAAGACCACGAGACTCCATGGGTAGAAATCAAGTGTACTTTTACTAA